AAATGAATAAGAAATTGAATTTATTTTAGAGTCTAAGAAAGAAGATAATAAATTTCTTAAATCTCACGCAAAAGAAAAAATATTTAATGAAAATAAATAATTAGAAAATGATATGCAAAATTTTGCATAATGTAATATATAAGGTGTGATTTGTTATTTAAGTTAAAGATATTTCCTTGTTCAAATATGTATAATTGCGTATTGAGAATGAAAGTTACAGTATTGAACTCTGCACTAATATAAACTCAACCACGTGTATAAATCTTCTTTAATCTGGTTTAATTTTATCCAGTCCGACATATACAAGCAATATTTTCATAATGATTGGATCGAACATGATAACTGTTAGTCGAATCAATGTTCAACCTCAAATTATTTAGCACATGTAATCAGCTTTTTACTTGGAAGTAAAGAAAGAAACTTGAGCTGTATGTGTGTAATAATACTAAAGCCTCCTACGCTTTTGTTTGAGCAGGAGATTCTTTTGCTGCTTTTGAAATGGCCTCGAAGGCGTATTCGATACATGACTTGAACTTATCAGGATCGATGAAATCTTTCTCCGCTCCGATAGAAATGCTCAGCTTTCCCACATAACTCACCATGGTTACTTCAAGGCTCTGCACAGTTCACATGCACAGAAGGTTAAAGAAGAAATATACAAGAAAACATAGATGAATAGAGAATTGAAGTGTTAGTATAAAGTACCTGAGGTGCCCCAGCCACAACGAAGTACAATCCTTTAACTGGCTGATTAGCCAAAGCCATTTTTTCCATAGGACCCATCATGTTTGATATTGTCAGGCTCGAATTCTTCAACGTGTTGTGGATGCATCGTGACGTTGCCTGGTACATAACGACATCCACAATTCAGTCTTGTCCAGAACTGTTTACCAAATATGCAAAGAGTACAATTTGGTATAAGATGAAATTTTATGCATACCTCAGGACCTCTAATTCTTCTGATGGCGTCGAGAAACAGGCCGGTTAGAAAAACTGATGCAGAATTTTTTTGCCTTTTGATCAGTTGGCGTGCTTTCTTGACAAATTTGAGTGGGTTGCTTAACTCAGAATCAGTCAATTTAGGAATAGGAACTTGTAAGAATGCAAAACGATTGCCCCATGGCATTTCTGCATTAGGTTTGATCATCTCACTCACTGATGTGTAACCTCCAATGACTCGAGTGTTAAGTAATACAAGTGCTGTACATTTGGCTTTGCCTGAATTTTCTTCCATTTTTTGCATGTATAATCGGGTTCCGAATATGATTATCCCAGTAATCACGTCATTGAGCGTCTGCAAATGAAATGCATGTCAAGTTTCACGTCCATTATTCATGTTTGTTTATCTACCTATCTAGCTTTTCAATTAAATCAAGATTGTTGTGGGACGCAGTTTAAATATCTAAATTGTCACTACTTTCTCGAATGTTTCCAAGTAGCCATTGAACTTTCAAAGTACTCATAAACTTATCAACATGTTATGTGACTAGTCATTCCCTCACTTGCCGTTTAAAAGTTAACGGACTAGATGATACAGTTAATAG